GAAGATCCATTTTGGGTTTAATCAGCATAAACTGCCCAAATAAAAGGTATTCAAGGATATGACGACAAAAGTGTTTCAGCAGCTTCTTTCTGAAACATCGTTTATGCTGACAAACTCCAATCCGTATATTGACTTTCCTCGACCAACGCTTCATAAAACCGTTGCTATAGGAGGGATCACCGTTTCCGCTGACTTGAGAAGAAATAGGCTTCCCGAGGTACTTTCCAGTTTCATTTACAGCTACATACGAAACCATTGATTCAACCGCTTTTAGAAATGGGATACGATTCTCAATGAACGCAACCATACGGTACTAGTGTCTTTTGGTTCGGTGGCAAAAGCAGTGTACATGCCTGATAAGTATAAGTAGGTATCTCAAGTCAGTATTGCCAAAACATGAAAATTCGTCAATGCTGCTTAGTTGAGCATTTGTGAAGGGGAAGCAAAGACAAGAAATATTGCTTAATCTTCAGGAAAACGCTGTTGAAAGTCTTTGAAAGTATGCCCGACACAACATTCATTATGAAATATGAAGAGGAAAAAGACGTGTGGGCAGACCACCTTTCCAATGTTCATCTTGATGTATGGCTTCCTCAACATGCCCTTCTTGGTAGGTGATAGAACAACTTTTTCTCTGATAGTGTAAAATTAAGCAGAAACAGAAACAAACTACAGCAACACATCAATGGGTTACGATCATGTTAGTACAAGCTCTTTTAAATCTAATTATTTAACACACGCCGAGTGAAATCAATCGGACCCCTTGAAATTTCTACTTACGCAGATCTTATTTTATGATTTTTTCCGTCATTGTTCTGTATATGATTTTTAACGTCGTTGATCCACTTATTACATGGTCAGCAGCTTATCGCTCTTATGACGCTTTCATACGATATATATCCTCTGTGTGAGTCGCTTCACTGTAGATTCACTGTAACCATGTTGAAAAGGGTCAACCCAGTAGCCCTGCTGAAGAATGAATTGATCTGCATGTAGTACCGAAAAGAAGGAAAGCAGCTAGGTTCGCATCTTTTGAAGAAGCTGAGAACCACTACCCGTACCGCAACATGCATATGTAAAAAAATTAAGAAAACGCCCCTGATACAGAAAGTTTTCTTGTTATTATTTGGCAAGCTTCTGTCTGGAGTGTTTTTTGTAGTAATATCACATGGTGAACGCTTTTCCAAACTTTCATCATGTCAGCATGCAGATGGAGAAACCCTCCAAAATTTTTCCCCATAATATGCACTAAGTTAGTGGAGCAAGCCACAAGCAAGACCAGCACGTTGATCAAAACTTCTTCACAATGCTTAAGCAGCTTTAATCAGGCTCTAATCAAGAAGCCTCCCTTAATGCTCCTTCGGGACGTTCTATCGGTGCTCAGCAAAAAAAAATTGAATA